CTCATAGAAAGATCCAAGAAAATATTGACTTATAACATTATCATTACTCGCAGATCTCGAAAGCCACTTAAGTGCTTCTGTTGGATTCATTTCAACACCTTCACCTGTAGCATAACAAACCCCAGCAGAAAGCTGTCCGAAGGAATCACCATCATTAGCGGATTTCAGATACCAATTAAATGCTTCCTTCAAATCTTTATTGATACCCATGCCTTCTCTATAACAATTACCAAGGTTATATTTTGCTCTGGGGTAACCACCAATGGCGGATTTGAAATACCACCAATATGCTTTATAATCATCTTTCTCAACGCCTGTACCCTTTTCATAATGACGTCCAAGAGCATGTTGACCCAAAATATTTTCACCTTCAGCGGATTTCGAATACCATTCAAAAGCCTTAGTATTGTCTTTCTCAACGCCAATACCATCTTCATAACATCTTCCGAGATTATATTCAGCAGCAGGATTACCAAATACAGCAGATTTTGAATACCATTCGAATGCTTTTCTTTCATCTTTACTGGTTCCGAGACCAAACCTATACATTCACCAACATGATTCTGAGCAACACTATCATAATCACTTCCAGCGTTAAAGAATAAACTCAACGCTTTATCATAATCTTGACTGCTAGGACTATAGTAATAATATAATAACCCAAGAAGGCAGATATATTCCGTTTTTGATTGATTGTTTAATAACCAATTAAATACATCACTTATTGTTATTTCATTTGAAGAGATAAGGTCAAGAATAGCATCAGTTCTAAGACCTTTGTTAAGCAAATTGGTAAACTCTGAATATAAAACATCTGCCATAACAATGAGAGGTATAAACTCATTACTAACAGAAGGTGACATAACGTCATTTGGCAAAGGTTGTGAAATTTTTATTTCATCGCTTGTTAAAGGTTGAGAAATGGATTCCTTATTCATTGAAGGTTGAGGATTCGTTGAAGGTTGAGGACTATTGTTATTCTTTGGCGAAGGTGGAGGGGAAGGTAATGGAGCACATAATTTCTTATCATCCACGAGAGTTATCGCATTCAATATTTTGATAACTCTGTTAACTTTATATCGACGAGAATTAAAATCTTCCATTTTTGAGTATATTTCACTTTACTTGAGGTTAACAATTTGATTTGCAAGTTTTTTCTCTGAAAAGCATTATTCAAATTCGGGTATTTTATAGTTGAAAATGTATTCAAAATTTCATGTTGTTTTCGGAAAAATCAAATACAGTAGGCAATCACGTTTGGTTGGTCACGGATTAAAACTCCGTACAACGGAATTTTAATAAAGTTTTCTAGAAGTCATAAAATTTTAAGAAAGGAAATTCTGGTTACGGCTAAATTTTTAAAGTTTTACTGCTCTTCTTTAAGCTAGCATGCATACTGTAAAAATCTTATGATTGCTCTTCTTTAAGCTAGCATGCATACTGTAAAGATCTTGCTTTCACGCTAAAAATGATTAAAGTAACACGCCACCCGGAGTTTCA